CACAGACGACCCCGTAACAATATGCGTTTTGTACTGCTGTTACACAGCACAAAACGCATAAAAAGCTGATCAAAGGATTAATGCAGCTCAGACAAATGGGCTGTGTGACATCCAGCTCGATAACTGAACGACATACTTTTTAGCTGTTCGAAGAGCGGCTCGAGGAAGTCTTTGAGCTCGGGATTCGTTGTTACGAACACAGTAAGCCCGTATTGCTTCGCCCGTGTGAAATACTCTTCGGGATAAATGCCTCGCTGGTACAGGATACTGTTGAGGCCAAAATCTGCAAGCAGAAGCATCACGGGAGCTCATTACAGCAGTGCAGGGGCTAGTCGAAAGAGACAGGAACTTACATAAAAACTCCCGAACGATCTGAGCGGACCCCTTCAGAGAAATTACTTCACGAATTTTAGTAGTCGACGCCATAATTGCTTGAATCCTGTAATTTCACAGAATAATGAAGGGCGCCCCCTTTACACTTTTTGCTGTTCCCGAGAAAAGTTGTAATATAAAGGAGCTCTCTTCCATGCGAATCCTGGATTTCTCCATTGTCCTCCTTAATGCTCCATTTGTATGTACATCCCAGGGGTGCATTACGGACAGACTATTTCTGGGTTTGTCACATTACTACGTTCTGGATCCACACTGACCTTTTCTGGTTCTCTTCTGTCCCCAACCTCTGCAACTCAACCTCTCAATTTCTCCCACCATTTTTTGTGCGTTTTGTGGTGCAACAGTTGCGAATACTGTGCTTAAAAAAATTTCGCGCCTCTGGAGCCCTTTTTGCATTTGTCTGTTTCCCTCCAGGCTGATGAAGCGAATCTGCGGCCATGCGCAGTGCTAACTGGCGTATGCCTGCTGCATCAGCAAGTGACCGTGCCTGTTAACCGCCCAGGTTACTCCACCACTCGCGCGACGCTTTTTTCCGGCCACTCCGGCCACTCTCGACGTATTTTCCGAGCAGAGCTCGAGTACAAGTGGAGAAGCTCCTAGCAGAATGCTATTGTCCTGGCCATTCCCGAC